GTAAGAGGGCCCATTAAAGCTAACCTCTTGCCAGCAGCGTTAGTAGGAATTAGTACCTGGGATGCATAAAGCATTTCTTTCTCTTTTGAGATCATCTGGGGAACAAGGACAGATTGACCTTGGTAGGTGCCAACCTTGCTTTCCATTGTGGTTCATGCGGTCTTTCCTTTCTTTTTAGAAGCCTTTTTTAGTTGAGATGAAGTTGAAGAAGACATTGTTGGAAGAATGTTGAAAGCTTAGGGTTTCGGTGAGAAAAGAAGGAGAAAAGATTCAGAATGTGGGAAGAAAAGAAAAGACTAAGTTGATGGGTTTTTATAATGTGGAAGTTTAAGCATCCATTAAGTAAGGTTGTGATACGTGGTAATCGTGGGTTGGTTTGATGAAGAGGTGGCGTAAAGTTAACATTGGTAATAGGCGTGATTAAAGACAATCATTGTTTTGTAACTGCACCATACTGTGAAATGGTTCAAGGCGGTTAAGGAATCTGAAAAGCGTTATGATTGACGTGACTGGAGTCATATGCAATAAATGTTACGATGATTCGAAGGTCGCATCAAAATCTTGTGTATATGTTTAAAATAAGTATTTCTCAAAGGAATCGAAATACATATTTTAAAGGGGCATTTTTTTGGCTGAAGATTTTGATGATATTATTAGAAGCAAAGTAAATTGGACGTTTCGATTGAAATGAAACAAAACGTCATGTTTCGAAATGGTAGAACCAGTGCTTCGAATGGGCATATCAAAGCTTGGAGCTTCGAGTGACAGTTATGAGAATATATCCAAAGAAGTCTCGAAATGATAACAAGGTTGTGTCTAAGAAATGCGTTCGAAGCGAAGAAGTGCCAAAACATTTGAAATTCAAATGCAAGCGGGATGTTCGAAATTTGAAATATATGCGCTGGAGCATTCGAAGACGCGTGGAAGCAAGAGAGAGGCATTGCTCTGCATGTTCTGAACGTGGCAGAATCTTATAGCAAGACCGTTATGGTCGAAGTAGTATAAATAGAAGTCTTAGCATTAGGATTTCGTGTGTCATATCTATTGTACAAAAAAAAACTCAGTAAACATTCAAATTACCACATGGCTAGGGAAACGAATGCAAGAGCAATGTACATATGATAACACCACATGTTTATGATTTAATGAAAACTCTTTATCATTTCCAGTACTTTCCTTTATCTTTATGTCAATACCATTTACAAGTTTTTGCATTTAAAGTGTTTTCATTCGAAATCTTTTCACTGATGCCTTACATTTAAATGTTTTCTTTCCATTTCAAATACTTTACATTTCAGAAACTGTTATACATTTCATGCCTTTATCTTCAAGTTTTTATCATTCGAATACCTTTTTCACTTAAAGCCATTTTACAGTTTTCTTGCATTTAAACGCTTTATTCATATTTCGAATCTTTTATATTAACCGTTTTTATGATTCGAAGTCATTTATTTGTCTTTTATGCAGTTTTTACATGTCTTTACAATTGACCTTTATTCATGCAATTTAGTTTCGCGCACATTTATTTGATCACTCCTTTAGATCTTTAATAGAGAAATCGAAATAAGTTAAACACCTACACAACATTCTAAATACCAACCATGAATACCAGTTCGATCATGAGAGTTACCCTAATAACCAACACGTCCTAGGATCAATCTAGTCGATCCTGCGAGTTACCAGAGAAATTGAATAACAATCAGTAAGTTTATTCGATAGTTTGGAGGACTAGCGGTTGTTTACCAGAAATCACTGTAAACATTACTCCACTTTAAAAATTCCCCAGCAGATTCGCCAGTTCTGTGATACGGTGGGAGAACTGACTTGGGATTTTGCGTTTGTGTTCGCAAATGTTTCGGTTTAGCAAGAGTCGCCACCGAATTTTTATTTTATCCTAAGGAAAGGTCAAAAAGCACAGGAAAGACCTTTGAGATGTTTTCTTGGGTTCGGGGAGTAGATTATGAAAAGGGAAGGTGCAAGCACCCTTTTCATTCATGGTTATCCATGAGCTCTTAGTTACTTGTTTAGATCACTTGCTTTTGCTTTTCAATTGTTTGAAATGGTACTTTGTGTGTGGTTTTGAAAGATGTTTTGAAAAGAGTCCGTCGTCGTGGCAACCTTTGTAATGATTCTTGTTTGAATGTATACAAAGGTGTTTTTGTCTTTTGAAAAGATATTTCTATGTTTGAAAGTTTGATTTGGGAAATATTTTGAAATTGTATTGTGAGGTGTGTTTTGAAAATAGCAAGGATGTTTTAGCAAGTTTTGATCAAGTAACTAAGAGCTATCTACCCTATTTTACTCAAAGATCTTTCCTATATGTTTTTAACCCTTTTGACAGTGTTACTTTACCATTGCATTTGGTAAACAACCTTGTATTAGGATGTTTAAACGGGACAGGCGCGGGTCATCGTATAGACCATGATAGCAATTGTGTTAAGTATTTTTAGCAAATTTTTGAGAGACTAGATCATTTTTGTATAGGCAACCAAGATAGCGTCATCGAGGGACTATGATCTTTTGTTTTGTTTTTGTTTTGCCAAAGTACTCAACATGCATATCATGGCCCATTTTTAAGGCAGCAAGTGGATGTAACGCTAGGGGTGCAAGTGTGCATTATGTTTGATTTTCATGTATTTTTGTCTTTGTATTAGGTCAAGCTACTTGTTGATTTTGGATTTTTGCATACAAACCCTAATCTCTAATCATGACATAATTGGAAGCGTAAATGCGTAAAATAATTCTACCACTATTACAACATGATTATGGGGATGGGGATACAATTTTTGAATGGGGATTATTTGACAAGAAATTAAAACCCTAATTTTACTATTACATCCAAATTGAATCAAATGCATAAATAATAAATGAACAATATTTAAATAAACAAATTAAATAAATATGCAAAACAAATTGAATGGGAATTCATTAACATATTGTTGATGTCCATTAATATCAATAAAAAAAATTAATCAATTAATTTAACTATAAAATATTATAGAACTTCAAATCAATATGCAAGTTTGTCATGGTTTGAATTATAGAATTTGAATGTGTGTTGGCCGACGTATTCAGATTCTATAATTAAAAATGATGTCCTAGTATATTCTCGGATTGTACATTTCGAACTAAAATAATAACCTAAAAGAAAAAAGAAAAAATAATTATTCATAATTTATCCTTCCTCTAATAAATTATTGGCCAAATATATTCTTTTATCATTTATATTTTACATTAATAATATTTTAGTTCTTTTTGTTTTTCTTTTATATTTTATATTAACTTTAACACAACATGAAAGATGATGAAACACGTTTAATCTAAACTATATTAATAACTACAATAAAAAAACTAAAACATTATTAACTATAAGGATCTTTCGCCTTATAAAAGAGCTATATCTTTACAAATAGAGTGTGTTACGTTTGAATGTGACTTTCAAAGAGTGATACAATTATTACATTTTAATTATAAGGATGATTCAGAATTTAGCCTTATAATTGAGTTCATTTCTAGTTTATTTTTCAAACTTTAAAGTAAAATTTGTAAACTGTCAAATAAATATCGTTGTTACCTCTATTGTGAAGGCGGTTAATTGTTAAGTTTGACATAATTTGTTAAATGTAATTTATCATTATATTGAATATTATTTTATTAATAAAATGTATTGATTCTGTTTTGATTAAAAAAAAGTTTTCAGTAGAAGAAAATTAGATTTGTTAATTTATTTATAGTCAAGTAGACTTTGAATTATACTACAATGTGATTAATTAATCATTTGATTATTTCGATCAATTAATTTGATTAACATAAGCATAGTACATCCAACATCTTAAAAACATAGCATTACGACCCGCGTGTACAACGGCGCAAATTGAATCTCCACCTGCTACTTTGTTATTTTCTCCAACTTTTTTTTTTCTCTCTCTCTCTATATTTTATATTCTTTTTGATTTTGTGGTTTATGTGTATTATAACAAATTCACGTGACATTTGTGATTTTTGTCACACATTATGTAAAGTTTCTAGACAAAAGTAAAATAATACAATATGCATTGCATGACTATAGTTATGAGCCACTTTCTATTACTTATTCTACTTCCCTATACGTTCACACTTCACTCACAATATATTTGCTTTTTTTTAATTTCTTCATCTACAAGTTGAGTTGGAGTTTTCAGTACAAAGTTTGACATTGGTATAAGTCTCTGATTCGAATTCTGTTAGATATTAATAATTACTTTTGAACGAATGAACGGTCTAATTGATCGGTTGCAAGGTCTGATATCAAATCTGGTTTGCCTTGGTTGTTTTATAGCGACTCAAATGTGATTCATCAACCACCAATTTAATAAGAAGGGGACCGTGAGTGAATAAGTAGCATTGAGCCATTGACAAGTCTGAATTAATTTGAAGAAAAAAAAGTAAAAATCTAAAAGCCTCTACTCCATCTTTCATTTTCAATAAGTTGGAAAAGAGAAAAAAGCAAAACACATTAAAGTTGTTATTGGTGTAGTATCCATGAATGATGATGCCCCACATCAACATGGTATGCATTGCATTTGCAATCAGGTCCCTCACACACACAAACACACCTCTTTCCTTTCATTAACTTCTAAACTCTCTCTCACCTCTAAATAACTGCCACGTGTGTTTATGTTCCATATTGCCTCTCTTAGTTTAGAGTTTTTTATTTATTTATTTTTTTTAAATTATATAATTTAAAATATAAATCATCTGATTTCAATCGAAGCGACTATAAAAATATGAATATAGGGAAAGGTGGTCCCTTAATTTCTCTCCCTTTATTACACTCATGAATGAAACCAACTTATCATCATCATCCATCAAATGGATTAATAAAAAAAAGCACTTTATCGGTTTCAATGAAACAAAGCCTTTGTCTATTTCTGCATACAGAATCACTTCCAAAAACCAATTCAAAAACTTAACAAGAATAGAAAAGAACCTTCTCTACACAACAAAACAACTTATTCAAAATGAATTTTCTTATTCTCTTCATTACCATTTCTGTTTCCTCAATGGTTCTCAATGCTAATGCTCAATCTCAACCTCAAGCTCAATCTCCAGGTAGACTATAACACACTGTTATGATAAATTTTCATTGATTCTACAAAATCATGAACTAGTCTTAAATTTTGAAGATCTCATAACAACTAATGTAATCATCATGAATCATGAAGTTTCATTGCTTGAAAGATGAAATACTCATCAGCATTTTTATTTTATGTCAATTTTAATATATCTTATATTTCTGCACAGCAATTAACTGAGTTGGTTTAACGAGACTAATGAGTTTGATGTATTGTTTTTACAATGAATGATACAGGAAATCAAGATGTTAGAATAGTGCATCACCAGAATTTGAATAAGAGAATTCTACTAGCATTGATTGCTTCTTCTGCTCTTGCTGGAATCTTCATCTTCTTATTGTTTTTCTTCTTACGGCGAAATAGAAAATTAACAATCTGCGCGAGTAAAAGCCGAGGAACCTTAGGTATTATGGTTTCTATTCTCTCTTTTGAAACTTTTATTTTGATCTTTTTTTTTAGTGAATCTGTAACTAGTCCATGAAACTTTAGGTGTTAGAATTATCGATGTTTTGAAATGATTTCTGAAATTAAAAATCGTCGATCAATTTAGTCTTTAAGAAAGATCTGTTGTGATAGAAGATTTTCAGTGATGGAAGCACAGAAAGTTTCTTTTCTGTTTCTCATATATATGATTTTGAATTTGTAGAGGCTGCGAAGAGGGAAAAGGAAAACATAAGTTCTGTTAGTGCTAAACTTAACTACTCGAGACTGGCTGATAAGAAGAGTTCGATTGCTATTTTCGACTTTCAATTGTTAGAAGGTGCAACAAACAACTTTTCCAGAGATAATATTATGGGAGAGAGTGGTTCTAGAATTGTTTACAGAGCTCGTTTCGATGAACATTTCAAGGCTGCTGTGAAGAAAGCGGACAGTGATGCGGATAGAGAATTTGAGGTGATCGATGATCCTTTATAAATAGATTTCAATGTGTATTATTTTCTGTCATACTGAATTTGCCTTTAGTTATTGCACTGAATTGCAGAATGAAGTGAGTTTGTTGAGCAAGATTCGGCATCAGAATATCATAAAACTCCTGGGCTATTGTATTCACGGTGAATCGAGGTTTCTTGTTTATGAGTTCATGGACAGTGGTTCTCTGGAAACTCAGTTGCACGGTACTTTTCATCGATATTGATTCAGAAAAGAATGAAAAATATCTCATTTTGAGAATTTAACTGTTACATATATTTTTTTCATTGGTACTACCAATTATAGGTCCTACTCGCGGATCGTCTTTAACTTGGTATATCCGGTTAAGAATCGCAATTGATGTTGCTAGGTGAGTTTTTGACACTTACAATGCTAAAGTTAAAACTTGTTATGATTAGTATGCCATTAGTTTTATCCATGATGACTGATACATTTTTCTTCTGCTAGAGCATTAGAATATCTCCACGAAAACTCCAATCCTCCTGTGGTTCATAGAGACTTAAAATCTTCCAATATTCTTCTCGATTCTGATTTTAACGCCAAGGTTAGACCGTACAACGAAATATTAACCTTACATATTGTTAATTAGTATTTATATTTTCATTTATAGTGAGTTTTGTGATTCAGCTATCAGATTTTGGACTCGCTGTAGCTTCTGGCGTGCAACACAAGAACATGAAAATGTCGGGAACTTTAGGATATGTGGCACCCGAGTACATATCACACGGTATGTATACATTACTACTCGTTCTTCGATTGTGATTATGCTTAGGATCGGTTGGTGCTTGAGATTATGTTTAATAGGGGAGCTAACAATGATAAGTTTTTCAGGTAAACTAACTGATAAAAGCGATGTCTATGCTTTCGGGGTTGTACTTCTAGAGCTTCTTACCGGAAGAAAACCGATGGAAAACATGTCTTCAGACCAATATCAATCATTGGTTTCATGGGTATGTTACGGATAACTCGTTGAAAACTTGAGTTCTGGTGTACTTAAATAAATGGTTAAGAGTTTGAAATTCATTCTGCAGGCCATGCCTCAGTTAACTGACAGATCAAAGCTTCCAAGTATTTTGGATCCTGTTATCCAAAACACAATGGATTTGAAGCATTTATATCAGGTTCATTGAAAAGAATCACTATAATCACATGTTTAATGCTTAATCATAAGCCGTAACTGATAAGTGTTTCTTAATCCATCTTAACATTCTACAGGTTGCTGCAGTGGCTGTGCTTTGTGTGCAAGCAGAACCAAGTTACAGACCACTTATAACAGATGTCTTGCACTCTCTCATTCCTTTGGTACCCTTAGAGCTTGGAGGATCACTCAGAGTTACAGAACCAATCGGCTCGCAGGATTTTCAGTGATTATAGAAAACTGCGTTTTCAAATGGTTTTCCTTTTTTCTTTCTTTCTTATATGTAATGTAATTAAGCATGAATTAATTAATTCCATTTGTTTTGAATACGACATGTAAATTTAAAATTTGTTTTCAAGTTTAACTTAAGGAAAACAACAAGAATCAATTAGAAAACGCGAAGAATATTATCCACACATTGCTTTGTCAAGTATATGCAGAATTTCTTGAGGTTCACGATTTGGAATGTTGAATTATGTTTAGTTTTCCACGGATACAAACAAACATAGGATGGTAAATTCCTCCAACATCATTGTTTAGTGTTTCATTGTTTTTTATGTCCATCAAGTTCAAGGAAATTTAGTCACTTCACAGAAACAAACTTGTTACTTGGCTTAAGCATATGCTTTATAGCTTCTAAAATGAATTATCAAGAAATTAGGATTCTTGTGATACTATTTTACTAAAATTTAAAATGTATTCTATTTGAAACAAATTGTATGGTTCCTAAAGAAAATCAAATTTTAGTCGTCTCCATCATTAAGTGCGTGTTTACGATCATGGTTATTTTATGGTTACTTCGTGGTTTTGTTGAAGCTTCTAAGTGCATCTTTTATCAATATCATGGTGGTTTAGTGAAACTGTCAATCCAAACACGCACTAAGATGTTCAGACAATGCTTATTTCACATCTTTCATAATATCATTATTCATCTTTTTCAGTAAAAACCGGATATCTTATGCGTGCAGCTGCAAAGACTAATCCCTCGAGCTGGAAGAGACCACAATGGGCGGCAAAACTCTCCCTCGAGAGAATTTAACACTGTTGTGTGCAGAGGATTGGATTCGAACTAAAGACCTCTAGTTAAGCTGAAAGAGATTCCTTAGCATATCATCCAATATAAGTAATGAGTAACCAATATAAGCAATATGATGAGGTCCATGAGTGGCAGCATCTAAGTAGGAGACAAAGGCACAGTAAATGAAAACAAGAGAGAAACATGAAAACAAATGCAACGGTAGAATCAATGAAGGATCAGAAACAGCCAAGACCAACAAGATTATTTTTTATGATGACAATGTAAACCACATATCTTGTAGTTTTGTTTTACTCTAATGAACTCATAATCTACTTATACTCTCCAAACCTTCCCAATGATGTAACAGAAGCATGTTCCCGCTTTAACCTCTTCCTCCTCCTCAGATACATCGAAACCATGCCATCTTCAAGTTGGATTTGTACCAATAACTCAAAGAACGTGCTTCTCCGGATTGTCCATCCCGGCGGTCGTGTTGAGCTTCATGACAGACCTGTAACTGCAGCTGAGATTATGTGCCGCAACCCAAGATGCTACGTTGCGCATCCGTTTGTGTTTCAGCAACCATGGGCAGTTGTTGAACCAGACACAGTGCTCATGCTTGGACAAAAGTACTACGTAGTGCCGATAAGTACTATAAGAAAGCTTCAAGGCCTTTCTCCAAGGAACTCTCCTTCTCCTGCTCGCAAAATTACAATCGGTACTTTGTTCGATGAATCTAAAAGCACACAATCCTACACAGCGAATGAAGATGACAGTATGATTTCTGGTTGTTGTATCTTCAAGAAAAAGAGTGTTACAAAGAAATCTAATCATCAGAAGCAACATTCAACGAATGCGAGCAAGATATCAGAAACAAAATCAGACGTTATAAATCAAAGAACAGATGTAAATGAGAATAACGGTGGTTCATCGTATGATAACTTCATTGCGCGCCTATTAAATGGAGGAGTAACTAAAGCGAAAGCCAGTGATGCGACAAAGGAAACAAGAACATCGCCGAGCAGCACTAACCTTCATGCTAACAATACACTAAACAGGAAGAGGAAGACCGATTTAGCAGGAAAAAGAGGCTCGCCTAAGAGAGCATGGTCTTCTGATTATTGGCAACCGAGTCTAGATAGCATAACCGAAGAATGAAAAAACTTTGTGGATGCGGAAGTCTTGGCTGTTGATGATATTCAATAATCTGTACTTTATTTATTAGTTCTTCAAAACAAAACCTATATGCTTTAAGTACCATAATGCACCCTCGGCTGCATCGTCTGCTGCCATTTTCTTCTTTTGATGAGGAGCACCGTAAACCTCTACGATGTTTTTAGATGCTTCAATTCTCTCTATGTTTTTAGATGCTTTACCTGTCTCTATCTCAATAATAACCTTGAATGTGAATCTGTGAAAAACATGAGAATTCAACATAGAAAATGTCACTTATTTGCTATATTGATTCTGAGTTATATGAGCTTGCTACCGCCAACACACAAAAGGCCTGTTTGAACCGACTAATTTGAGTTTATCTACCGGCATAAACACGCGTGAAACAGTTTGACAAAGCTTAAGAAAGTAGCTTATAACATGTAGATAAACTTTTTTCAACTTATTTTCATAAACTCACCGGAATAGCTTATGAAAACAACTTATAACTTATAAAACACGGACACAGACTCAGACCCCTGACACGACTCTAACACATCGACAATGATAATAGTTTGAAAAATAAATAAATTGAATGTAATCACATAAACACATTATCTTCCAATTATTCATAAAATAGAATCCTTCATTAGCAAGAAAGCTTACATTCTGCAATGACATGGTCCTTCCTCTTTACAGCATTCAAACACAGGAGCCTTCCAATGATTTGCAGCACAGATCTCATACAACTTTGATTTACCATATCCTTTCTTCACACCTAATAATAATAATAAAAATAATAATAATAATAATAATAATAATAATAAATAATAATAATAATAATAATAATGATAATAATAATAATAATAATAATAATAATAATAATAATAATAATAATAAATAATAATAATAATAATAATAATAATGATAATAATAATAATAATAATAAATAAATAAAAAAAAAAATAATAATAATAATAATAAATATTTTTACATGAAAAAAAAAATTAACTTATTTTGAAAAGCATGCAAAAAAGGTACCTTCATCTGGAGTTGAAGGGTCCCCTAAAATCACACTCTCTTTGTTAAATGAATCCTGAACAGCATCACCAAAATTGCATTGACACGTCCATCTCCTTTTGGCATAGAATTCAATCAGTTTATTTTTCTTCACTTATGGTATTCTTTCGATTGGAGATCAGATAGGATAGATGAAAATGTTACAAGATTCAATATTTATTTTTTAAATATTATTTTAGATACTTTATTTTTTATTGAATTTTTTTAAATATTAAAATTTTAAAAAATTACTTTATTTTAAAGTTATTTTAAATAAATTTTTATAATGTTGAAATATACTAAAAAAATAAAAGATCAATGATTATTTTCATTGATTTATTTGAATTTATATAGTAACATAAATTTTATTATACTATTTATTTGAAAAAACTTATGAAAATAAGTTCTGAGATTGTTAATAAAAAATTTTCGACCTATTTTAAGATAACTAAGATTTATGTTAGTATTCTAATTAAAAGTAAGTTATTTATATTTATTTAAATAAATTGATCTGATCCGCTTTAAAAGTTTTTTTTATGATTTATGGTCTAACATTTTTAATTAAATATATTTATAAAAAAAATCTAAGTCTTTTATATTTAAAAAAATCATGATTTGATTTTGATATGTATAAACTACGTTGTATGTTTTATTAGTTGGTTTAACTTATTCTAATTTCAAGTGAGTGATTCACTTACAAATATATGTAGTGTACTTTTGGTGCATACAAAAATATAATTCTGAATTTGATAAGAGCAATTTTGAATTTTTAAAAGGTGATTTTTCACTACTAAAATTAATACTTTATTTGATCTTTATTATAAAAGTATATATTTTATTAATTAATTAATATAATTAATTTATATATAGATTATATACATTTAGTGAATCTAAAAATTAAAATTTCTTTATAACAAAGACAAAAATAAATCAAATACTTAGCTTATGTGATAAAGAAATATTCGGAAACCTATTTTTTCTATGAATTTATAAAAATAAATATCATTTATTAAAATATTGATTCTAATTCGTAGAGAAGTGGAATGAAATGCAAGTTAATAAATAAAAATATTATATTGATATTATTAAAAAAATATATAATTAAGATATTTTTATATGAGATAAAGACGATAAAAGTATAATATTTTATAATAATATTATTATTATTTTTAATTTATCTCTGTCACTCTTTTTACTTTTTATTTAATTTGTCTTTATTAAAAAAATTAAGAAAAATTTAAACAATAATTTCATGAGAATTTAAGTCGTTACTCTCTTCAAATTAAAACGGACACCCTCACATATTTTTTTTAATCTCTTAATTACTCCTGGATAAATTTTAATGAAAAAGTACGAACGAAATATTTGATAGTGCATTCAAAATTTTTAATCCTTAGGCTTTTACCAATACCATGAGTAATCTCTATTAAATTGAATTCAACACTTTGTTAAAGCTTATTTTCCGCCATTGATAATGGAATGTCTATTAAGTTGTTATTCTTATTCTCTTCTAAGAAAGTAATACATATTTGAATCACTCAAGATAAATAGCATAATATCATAATCAATTCAAAAAGCAAAGACAAGAAAGTTTCATTATGATAGATTGTGATAACATCGGCAAAATAACATTTGGTGTCTACATCCCAATTTTGGTACTTGTAGCACAATCTCCAAATGTTGGATTATTTCAAAGCCCTTGTTTATATATTTTTCTAAATTCCAAATAGGAACCTAAAATAACAAGGCCAATACAATATTGAATTGTATATTTATCTATTTCTCTTCCAAATCCATCTTATTTCCATCTCTCAAACAGTGTAGTGTTGTTGAATTGTCTCAATGTCAAGTCCTTTCAGTTTCACAACAGATTCAACATGTCCCTTCAATGTGTGTAGCTCCCTTAGCCTTGCGATTTCAGCGCGTTTCTTGGCTTGGTCCGCAAGTTCTGATAAGTCTCTATAGTTGTTACTTTCATTCAACAGTTGATCTGAGTCTGGTGGATTCAATCCGTGTAGCGTGCGTTGAGCTGCCGCCCATTGTGCTTCTCTCGCCCCCCTTCCGTAATCTTTCTTCGAGGTGAAAGCAGTCTGCATTCCATTATGTTAGTTATAATTACAAGATTACGTGTTTTTTAGTCTCAGGTATTCACTTTTCAGCTTCCAAATGCACGGTTTTGTAATTTGTGAAACTAAAAAGTGAATACAGGGACTAAAGAAAAAACATATTTAAGCTTACCCTATTTTCGGTAATATTATTCCATGCCTTGCCGCTCAAGGCATATCGAATGAAGAACTTAAGGATATCCAAAGGAATGTAGAAAACAATGCTGTAGAGCCAAATGACTGCTGCCCAACCCCATCCGATTCCTTTCATGCTTGCAAACGCCCAATTCGCATACACAGCTACCAATGTGGCAACCTAAAAGACGATAAAAATAAATTAATTTCGTAAGAAAGATATCCAAAAGTATTGAAGAACATTTAATTATTCCGAACTCTGGGTTACCAGAAGCCTTTTCTCCTAAAAAAACTTACCATTTGTGCCAGGAGAAAGGCGCCGATAAGTAATAATCCGGGACGTTCGACAAAAGACCAACTCCTTGATCGTGTAACAAAGATGAGAGCCTGACTTACGATACTCACTTGAAGGTAAACAGCAGCTGTTAGTTCCGCGTGGCTGTCACGGATAGATCTTACCCCAAATTTTTCCTACAAACATTTTTCAGTTATGGATTAAGCATGAAGGCTGAAAATCATGCAACAATGATCTTAATGAATAATCACTTAATCTTACAGTGAAGAAATCAGAAGCATGAGCAAGCCAAAAGAAGACAACAGTAATAACAGCAAGGTAGGCACCAAGCACGACGCCAGTGGCGAAAATCTCCCTCAACTTCCATGAATCTGGCAAAGGAGATGGCTTCACTCTATCCTTTGAAATAGTCATGATTGTGCCGTCGTTAAGTATGGCAATGATCAAAACCATGAAGGGAGAGAAATCAAATTTCCAAATTAGAGCAAGGAGCATAAAGCCAAGCACAATTCGGATTGTTATTGAAACTGCGTATATCGTGTAGTTCTTCATTCTTTGAAAAATAGCCCTGCTTGTGAGGACCGCACTAATGATAACACTCAAACCAGGCTCCGTGAGGACTATGTCGGATGCACCTCGAGCTGCATCAGTTGCATCCGCCACTGCAATTCCAATGTCTGCTCTTTTCAATGCAGGTGCATCATTCACACCATCTCCTGTCATTCCACAAATGTGTTTCCTATCTTGAAGTCTCTTTACAATCTCGTATTTATGTTCTGCATTTCAAATTCATTCGCATTATTCCCATTAGTACTCTTGTCTCAGTCTTCCTTAGAAGATCAATCAAACAAATATATGTATGTATGTATGTATATATTACCAGGGAAGACACCAGCAAATCCATCGGCTTTCTCAATAAGTTCATCGATGGGAAGGGAAGCAATTGAGGCATCCTTGTGTTCGCCAAGGAGGGAGGATGACGGATACATGTTACTTCCCATACCGAGCCTGCGACCAGTTTCCTTGCCAATAGCTAGTTGATCACCAGTAATCATCTTAACATTTACTCCAAGGTTGAGAGCTTGTCTAATGGTTTCTGCACTGTCATGCCTTGGTGGATCAAAGAGAGGCAACAGACCGACAAACGTCCACGGTCCTCCTGAACTCTCTTTAGTCTTTTCTGGCACTTCCTAAGAAATTCGCAGAAAATCTCATATAAACTTATTGATTTGTTCAACCATAATAACTCATCATTAAGAAAAACTAAGAAAAACTCACTTGTTTGCAAACGGCCAGGGAACGAAGACCGCGGTCAGCGAATTTATCAATAATGGAAAGAGCTTTCCTCTTCACATCTTCTCTAAGATTGCAAAGCTCAATAATCTAAAAGAAAATTCAATATGTTATAGTAATGTGAAACGATAGACGTCAAATATGACTCGAGAAACCGTGAAAGGTCTATTTATTTACCTGCTCTGGTGCGCCTTTGCTTACTCTGTGCCAGTTACCATCAGTGTCTATGTATGTTATGGCGGTACGCTTGTCGACTGGATTAAAGGGCAAGAAATGCACCTCTGTAAGACCTTCCCTAGCCTCTTTAGGATCACTCAACATTCCAACAATGCAAGCATCAATAGCATCTTGATTCTCCACCCTAGAGGCTCTTGCTCCGAGCAAAATAACCATGTCCTTATCGGTATCTCTTGAAAATACCTCAACCAGATTCTTGTCCACTGTAAGTTTGTTCAATGTAAGAGTTCCGGTTTTGTCACTGCATAAAACATCCATTCCTGCCATTTCCTCGATGGCGGTCATTCTCTTTGTGATAGCACCTTGCTCAGACAACCTATGTGAACCAATAGCCATCGTAACTGACAAAACTGTTGGCATGGCAATTGGAATCCCTCCAATGAGAAGAACCAAGAGATTGTCAATTCCGTTCCTATACTTGCGGTGCTGAATGGGATACATGACAACAATCTCGATGACCATTCCCACAGCAATTGAGCAAATGCAGAAGTTACCAATGGCTGTCAACACCTTTTGGAAGTGACCAACTTGGTTAGTGCTGTCGACCAAATGAGCAGCCTTACCGAAGAAGGTATGCACACCAGTAGCGATTACAACAGCCTCGAGCTCTCCTTGCTTCACAGTGGAACCGGAGTAGACTTCATCGCCAGGGTTCTTGGTAACAGGCAAGGACTCACCGGTGAGTGCGGATTGATCAATCTTAAGAGCATCTCCATCCAAAAGACGACAATCGGCTGGAACGATGTCTCCTAATTTGATGCTGATTATATCTCCCGGTACCAATATAGCAGCCTCTTGCTCAGCCCACCTTCCATCTCTCAGAATCTTCGTTTTGGGAGCAAGACCTGCCATAAGTGCTTGAGCCGCATTTCCAGCATTGTTTTCTTCTATAAAACTAATGGTTGAGTTAATAACTAGCAACACCGTTATTCCCACAAAATCTTGCCAATCTGGTGGTTGACCCTGCATGTTTCAAGAGACAAAAAAACATAAGCAAATATGTCCCAAAATGTCACTCTTGGGTCAAAACATCTAGAGCGTGACCCGAGTGATCTCATAGCAGAAACCTATACTAGGCGGCCTAATGGACCTTGGATTTACATATGTAGTCACAGCGAATAGTATATACACCTGTGTGTGAAATTGTCGAATAGATCATTCGTTAAGGAAAAAAGGAGACATAGTATTTAAAAGCATGATTATATTATGAAGAACATCATACCCCTCCATTTGCCAAAGCAATAGCCATGATAGCAGCAGCCTCCATGACCCATGAGAGGGGATTCCACATAAAGCCCAAGAATTTGAGCACCTTACTTTCCTGTTTTAGTCCAAAAATAAGATTGTATTAAAAGATTTTCATGTAATAATGATAGGAAATAACAAAATTTGATTGTAGATTAGTTGCATGATTCCTTACACTTTTTTCTTCCAATTTGTTTGGACCAAAAACCGTAAGCCTTTTTTGGCCTTCTTCATTAGTAAGACCTTCTTTAGTACAATTCAATTCTCGAAACACTTCATCCACGGGTATCCTCTCCTATAAAACCAACCAAGTTGCATTATATAACACAAATGAATCACTATAAGTTATAACAAATCAAATGAAAGAAACATAGACTACATTAGATCACGGTGTCCTATAACTTTGACAGAAGTTAACTTAACTTCGGTCGAAATTACAACAAACTCTATGTGAATTCAAACTTACAAGATCGACCGTCTCTTTCTTGATATCTTCAAGACTAGTCATGTTTGTGTTCCCTTATTGACAATATTAGTATTATTGTTATTACAACTAGAAAGTGTGAAACAAGAGAGAAATAGAGAGTTTGTTTTTATTTGTTGCTTATAAGAAAGAACAAGTTATGAGAGTAAATTTGTGTATGTAGTGTATATATAAGGAAAGGAATAGAAGATAATAGTAATACACAAGTGTTGAATCATCAATGGTGTGTGTGAGAGTGAGTTTCTCCTTTCAATTCTCTCTTTAACTCTAAAATCACTCATTTCCACTCATTCACTAATAACAAAAATATTGAAACTAAAAAAATCAAAATTATATTAGCGAAGCAGCTACACTTGTGCTGTTTGTTTTGACCATGTAATGGTCTTTTATTGCTTCTTGCACGTGGCAATTCATTAATTTCATCTTGAGAAAACAAATTATCAACAAGAATACTGTATTATACATAATGGATAGTACGAAACAATGCACAAACAGAGGATCCAAATCCTCAATGAAGCATATGACTGACCCGTCAAAGTTTGTGGTTTTCAAGTTTTGCAATTTATTTTCATCACTATATATCTCTGCAACTTTTTTTTAAAGTTGGTCGATGTTAGTTA